CGGTTTGTAGAGTGAGTTTCTCAGTAGATCCAATTTCTTTTTTTTTAAAGTCTCGCACTAGGGAAACCTTTTATCGCGGTTGCTGTGGACACACATAGACAACCACAAATTACACCAAAACTCACGAGAGAAATAATTGTAGGCCATATAAATATCGGCCTGGGAACCTAGAATTCAGAAAATGAATTTATTTGTTACCATAAATAACACCACAGAAGAAGAAAAAGCAAAAACAACGAGATGTAAAAATTGAAAAAAGAATTAAAATGACAACATAAAATTAAAAGCAAGAACATATTCGCCAAAACAAACTTTTAACACTGACGTAAATAAAGCACTAACAGGCATAATAAGTTGGATGGACATCAATGACTTGAATATTAATATAAGTAAAACCAAAGTTATGAGTTTTAGATCTTACAACTCAAATCCCATACCGGTTAAAATTAATTACAACTCTGATACTGTAGATGAAGTAGACACATTTAACTTTCTTGGGTTAACAATCGACAAGAACCTTAACTGGAAGGAACACATCGAACAGATGTGCATGAACCTAAACAGATTTGTTTACGCTTTACGAAGACTAAGACAAACTGTCTCGCGAGAAGCTGCGTTGACGGCCTATCACGGCTATCGTCCATGCTCATCTACGGTCTTGTACTATGGGGTAACTCAGTAATCTTAGAAAGAGCGTTTAAAGTCCAGAAGAAGTGTATTCGAGCAATTTGCGGTGCGTGTTTCGATGACAGTTGCAAACCGCTGTTCAAAAGGCTGAACATATTACCATTGCCATGCATGTACATTAGGGATATCTGCGTATTTGTCAACTCTCATCCTCAATATTTTAAAACACGCGGTGAAGTCATTCAAAGGCAAACTAGAGCAAAAATTATAAATCTCTTATACCAACCTCGTTGCCATAAAGTAATTTATAAGAATAACTGCTTCAAGATGTGTATAATTATTTACAATAAATTACCAAACGAAAGTAAATTGTTACAAGGACATACTTTTAAATTAAAATTGACAAAATGGCTTTTGACACATTGCTTCTCTAGTAATAAAGAATACTTAGAATTTACAAATTCATTACATTAATTAGAAACTATAGAGACTAAAGAAACATTGAATCCCATTAATATTTGCACATCTGCTTGCAGGTTGAATACAATGTACCTAATTTTAGTTAAGACCTTTGTAATTATTGTATTCTGGCAAATAAACGTATTCTATTCTATTCCCACAAAACAGAATCATAAACAAAAGAAAAATAAAACATTCCAATTGAAACAATTTTTGCAAATCCAAATCTCGGATACCTACTTGTTTTCCCAAGAAACGAACGTGTCGGGCCCTTTACATCTCCCATGTTCACGGCTGACTTTGACTAAGTAAAATAGAGGAACGCTTCTCCATAATCTTGCCCGATTGTAAGCCACGATGTGGCAGTCGATGATACGCGTTAGTCTTGAATAGCCCTAAATTGTTGCTTTCGAGACACACAGATAAACGCTGTCTAATCCATTCCATTGCGGATGGGTGGCAAGTCAATGACATAAGCCTGGAGTGTTCCAGACTTTCTGGTAAATCGAAGAAGGAACGATTGAGGTGGGACGTTCCTGCTCATACTCAACAAAAATAGTGGAATCACAGGCATATGGGATTTGCCAACTTATGCCTCAGGGTGACAGGCACAGTGGCAGTGCAACCGTTATGCACAGGCGTGTAGCTTACCTCCTTGCGCACGACTTGTTCGTCCCGTCACTTGATATTATAATAAGAAAATTGTTTTCGACGATCCCCTTCTCTTGATTCCCTCTAATGAGTGTTCTCTCCTATACTTTCATTTCCTTATTACATAGTGTTATAATTTTCCAGTGTTTATTTATTTCATATTTTGTTACTCGGCCATGCCTTTTTAGGATTTCGCCAAAAAATATTTTATGCAAGTTCCAATTGGCAAGTACTTATAGCTGTGACACTCCGTTGAGGTGTCCACTTGTTGGCTACCTTTTATGTTTACTATTACGAATACAATAATAAAAAGTATAATTTGTTTCAAAATTACATATCAAATATTTTATTTCAATTAAATAAATATATAACTTTATCAATATAATATTCATATACGTTGAATTTTTTAGTCTTACTTCGTAATTACTGTAGAACTATTTTGATAATTATGCCTTCAATACTTTTATTTATGTGTATACATTTTAGTATTTAATGTGTAGTGTAGGAGGTATTCTTTGGTTGCACCCCCTTTGTTAATTCTTAAATTTATATCACAAGGTTGCCTGAATGAAATTGCTACTTAACTTCTTATAGAACTTATAGATTGTGAACGCGTGCATTGAAATGAGTATTTTTATAGCCAGAATCACCTGCCATTGCGACTGGCAGTTAGCACCTTTTCGGGTGACTAGGTCACCTTGGGGCGTAACGCGATAGTCTATAATATGCATACCGTAATTTGCAACAAGCTATTCAAAGTTTTTATTATTAAGAGCTCTCATGCCAAAAAAGTTTTGACGTTGACTCCGCCCGAATTTGTGAAACAAATATATGCCTGAAGTTCGCGTGACATGAGACAGGAGATGTTGAATTTTGCGCATTAAAAGTACCAAATTCGTTTTAGCGGAATAACTCTAAAACTAAAGGGATTAAAAAAAATCCGTAGTGACAGTTGTCGATCATGCATAAATATAATTAATTATCTAATTTTTGTCCTAATAACCTGTAGCATTTCGAGGATAAATCGAAAAAATGTGAAAATTAGAGGTCATTTCGTGATTTTTATCTATCAAGGAAAATTTATTGTTTTATGTTTCAGATTAATGTCTATGCTTGAATATATCGTGTAGTTACTCATACAATATTTTATTTTTAACTTTAAAGTGGATATACCCCTCTAAAATCAAATCGAAGATTAGGAATTTTTCCTCTGCTCCCTCTTAACATTCAGTTAAACTCAGAATGTGGGTTAAATAGTAGTTTATAGGAGTATTGAAGAGACCAGGGAAAGAATGATGATAGTCACGTACAACGTGTGTTTGGGAGTTAATAAAAAAATTTAGTAGCAATAGAACTCCTTGTAAAATGGTTAGTCCTGGGAACTACTGCCACTTTACCTATTTCTGCCGCCAAGCACTAATGTGAGTACTACTGCGGTTCGGTTTAGATAAGATCTTTGCGATTTAAAGACCTGAGTGGCGCTGCAACTGTATCCATAACAGTTGCGAAGCCAGGCTTGTCGCTTACAACCAGGCTCACGACTTGTTCCATCCGTTACTTGGTATTATAAAAAAATACTGCCATATAGATCGATGGCATGGCATATTTAGCCAGAATCAGAAATCGTCGATACGATGAAAAACTGACCTCAAAATTTTGTGGAATTACATCTATTTTTTTTTTAAGTTTTAAATCGTTGAACGGGAAGTGGGTCAAATCCAATAAACCGGATTCATCCCCTAATATTTTCCACCCTTAGAGGTGGAAAATTGTCATCAAATTTTCCTTCGTTGTGACAGCACTTGACCCTGCGTTTGTATGCCAAACTAGGGCCATCTATCAACTGAGTTGCAGTTCGAATGTTTTTATTATTATTATTAAGATACCCAGTGACGGGACGAACGAATTAAGCCTCTGGTGGTAAGCGACACGCCTGTCCATAGCAGTTGCAGTCACTTCCACTGTGCCCGTCACCTTGAGAAATAAGTTAACAAGTTCCATGTGCCTGTAATGACATTAGCCCCCCTTAAACTTAAAAGAGTACCCTGTGAAAGAGTTCATCCAGGGAAATATTGTCACCATACATATTTCTGTCGCCAAGCAGCAATATAAGCTTTACTGCATTTCGGTTTGGAAGGGTATGGGTGCTGGTGGACCTACAAGAATATGGCACTTGTCTCAGGGTCGTATTCCAGAACTCTACTCAATGCTCAAGTCAGGATTTGAGCAGACTTCAAGCACTGGAAATACGACCCTAAGGGGCCTTGAGTATGATTTTCAGTGTTCACTGCAATACTCAAGTCCTGACTTGAGTATTGAGTACAGTTCTGGAATACGACCGTCAGAGTGACGGGCGCAGTGGCAGTGCCCCTTACCACCAAGGATATGACCGATGACGTGTTCGCCCCATTACTTATCGTAAAAAATATGCGTACGTTTTTGTTGTTACGCGGTTTGTAAGTACAAAAATCAGCCATATTGTTCAGTACGACATTTTGACATCGAAAGCGACAAACATAATAATTCGCGATGTTTTTGACGTCTGTTTAGT